GATTTGTAGTTCATTGTGTTAGCAATGCTAGCAATTAGCAGAGATACAAAAAATGAAGAAAGGAGTAACAGGAGTATCCAAGAAAATCAATTATTAGTGAAGAATAATTTTATTTTCAGGGTAAGAAAAGTGAAACCATGACTGAAAAGAGGGTGATGGTGGTGGTCAGGCATCAAATGGCATCAGTTGTTGTGTCATATAGTAACACTCACCGTTTTGTCTTCATATGACTAACCTGAGTTCACACCTTTCTGAGAGTCAGACACAGATCTGTCCTCAGTGATCCCCCCTCACTCCCCGATCCAACCCCACCTACACACACTTCCTACACGTGGCTCCTTGTTATACTCGATGAACTAGAGTCACACAGTCTCTCCCCCCCTCCTCCTTCTGTCTTTGCCTCTGCCTCCACATCTGCCCCCCCTCACCCTCCGGCTGCTGCTCCAGGACAAGAAGAAGAACTACAAAGCAGTGCAGTCCTGTGAGGAGGGGGGATCTGGGGGGGCCTATCTTGAGCCACTAGTAGCCCTGGCCCAGAACGGCGCCACCATGCACAACGTGCTGGGGCCTGCGTGCATCTTTCTACGCAAGGGCTTCGCTGAGAGCCGGCAGGCTGTACGTAAGTCCAGAACATATGATGTGCATGCAAGACAGCTCAGCATAGCTTACGATTAATGACCGGAACCAGTCACTTTGTAAAACCAGAACCTGAGGCGGAGAGGACGGTGAGAACTTGACTGAAGGAGCATTCTTTGGCAGCCTAAATGCCAACCGAAGAGTGTCTGCTGGTGTCTGTGAGGCTGAATGTGATGCTCAAACACATGATCATTTGAGGAAACTCCGCCTAAAAACTTCAAAGATAATTTTTCACATGTTAAAGAGATCCAAGAAAAATATTCTTTTAATATTTTGTGTTTTTGCTGTTTTCTCATTCATATTGTTCCATACACCAGATTTTGATGGATTGCCAGAACTCGGCATGTTTTCATCACTTTGCAATGTATTGGATGAGCTCTTCCTGTCAAGTTGGAACTAAACCAGAACAATGTTGGCTCATGTCTGAAGTTGCTTTTTTTTATTACTCCCAGCGACACGCTGAGTGAGGATTAATGGAGTACCGGCATGAGTTCTGACACGCCAGCAGAGTTTGGATCCTAACCTTGTATTGTGCTCCCCCACAGGACCGAGAGCTGAGGCCAGAAGAAATGGATGGTATGTGAGGCTATTTAGCAGAAATAACAAGTCCAAATGTGTGACCATAAAACTCTTTTTCAAGAAACGTTTTTAACACATTTTCTTGTCCTCACAGAGCTGCGTGAGGCCTTCAAGGAGTTTGATAAAGATAAAGATGGATTTATTGGCTGTAAAGACCTGGGGAACTGCATGAGGACGATGGGCTACATGCCGACAGAGATGGAGCTGATAGAACTGAGCCAACAGATCAACATGAACCGTAACTAAATCTTCAATTTTTATTTATTTATTTTCTTGGTCCTTATATATATTGTCCTTTATTTTTCTGTAAGCAGATGCCAATCAGTGCACAAAAAGTCAGAAAATAAATACTTTAACAGGATAGTTTGGATCTTGTAAAATGGGGTTTTGTGAAAATAAATATCTTACCTGTTGTAGATAAATCATTGACTCATCAGTTTGAACAAATTTGACTGGAATCATAAACTAACACTTACTCAGCACAGACCCACGATCAAAGTGGTTTGCTGCCATTACCATACTCCAGTGTCACAATATTTTATAACGTCTCTATAAAAGCCCTCTTTAAATGAACTGTAATAACCCCTGTAAGGGAGACATATGCAAAAATAACCATCCATTTTGTTGTGTACTTTAAGAGCGCAGAAAATTAAAATTTAGCTTCTCCCAGTGCTGCATAGACATTTTTATACTGTATATTTATTTAGGGTCACATTTTTGTAATTTGTTCAGTTTTCTTTATATATATATATATATATATATA